TTGTTTACATTATTTTACTTTACCTACTTTAACTTGTTTACATTATTTTACCTAGTTTGCATACCTTACTTTACCTTCTTTCCCTCATCTTACTGTAAATTGCCTCACTCTGATTTATGTCGTGTAAAACAAGATTATCACAGACACACTCTCTATAAGATAACTAGTTTGTGCACATAAATATTTTGCGAAGATAGCCAACAGCAGTAAAACTCTCGTGTCCCTTTTGAAGCCTAATGGCTATATGTAGGGACGTTTATGTTTCTGACATCACACGCCCATACGTGTATGAGAAAGATGAGCATGTGCGGCAACACCCAGGATATGCGAGAGGATATCTCACCAAACCTGGAGAGAGCAAAGAACTTCGGCACCTTCAGAGTGTCACCGGAGATTACACAATGATTTAATGGCAGCAGATCTCGACCGGGCCTGAGTCTTCCCTGGCGTCTTCCCGTCTCATTTTGTGAGAACATTCTGGGGGAAAATTGTCGAAAGTTGGGATTGGGTGTGTTAATTATAACTTGCTGTTTAGAATGGTGTTCTTACATTAAAGTTTAAACTTGTTTACATATCTTTTACATGAAGTTTGTTTAACCAGCCGTAGCTAATTTTTGTGTGTTTGTGGGATGTTAGTTATTTTTGATTTTTAATTAGGAAGTTTTTGCGTCGCGTAGTTTACCATCACTTACGATCTGTTATGCATCGATCTGAAAACGTTCAGTTTCTCAACACAGTTTTTGGAGGAAAAAGAGATCATTGATCTCTGAACAGTCAATTCTGAAAACAGGGCTTTACGAATTGGGTGGTGACGAAAGAGCCACTTTGGCTCATTGCGTTACTGTTCGAACGCGCAGTGTTTTTTCGTGATTTTTAGTAATTCTCCTGGTCAGCCACCAGGATTGGTGGACGAGGTGATGGAGGTTTGTTTGTTTGTTTTAGTATCCAGAAGCCATGAGTTGTTAACCCTTAGGCGCGGTATTATGGATATGGCAACGCTTCCGCCTTGATTCCATTGTAAATACCGTAAATATGGAAGAAATGTGGCTTTTTCCTGTCTACCCCCGGGATTGAACCCGGACCACAAGGAGTTCGTCACCCGGTCTCCGCGCAATCCGGTTTAGCCAACTACGCTAGAGAGCCGGGCAGATGATGGAGGTATTTCGGTTTATCACACTGACGATTCTGCCCCCTAACTTAGCTCCTCTAATTCAAACTATTGACTTCTCATTGTGTTCATTTTGTTTTGAAATAACGTTGTATATAATTTTATTGATTTTAAAAAGATTTGAATGTATAAACACTGGGTGCTAGGAAACAATCCAGCCAGCATTAATTTTTTTTTTTAAAAATGGTTTCCACCTTCAGAAAAGTGAGTTTCCGAAAGAAAAAAAAAAAACTCGTAAGAACGAATCAAGTTCGAAATCCCTAATTTCACTGTATGTGAAGCCCGAATGTTTCCAAATTCCTTTGTGTATTCGACCAGTACACTCATAGCTCCGGTTCCCCCCCCCCCCCCCCCACAGTTATGGTCCAGTTCAGCCAGAAACACTACCCTGTCAAAAACGTTCCATTGTATGCCATCACTAAAGACCATCCTGGCCCATTCAGCGCTGGGGAGTCTCACTTATGCGTGACTTGTTTCCGGTTAAGCGTCTCGGAAATATAGGCACCATTCACATTTCGTTACCTGTTGTTTGAAGGGTTGATATTTCAGTTGAGAAGAAACGTTCTGCTTCCCCCTCTCTTCATTCCTAAAAGAATAAGCCATTGGGAGCATCAATGTATTGGAACTCGGTGGACATTTTCTGCATTCAGGACCTTCACATTTCGTTGTGCGTTTTCTTGTAACTGCTGGGTGTGCACAGGGTTTTCTTTCATGGGATATCTCCGAGACATTTCTCTTAACGAACTATCAGAAACTGAGAGGAGTGGCTGGCCAAGCGGCTACAACTGCGAGCCCTCATGCAAGAGACCCGGGTTCGACCCCAGCATGGTGATGGAGTTGTTCTTTCCTAGGCAGAATTAACATCCTTACCTGTACAGTGCGTACGACAGCACTAGCTATGCGGCACTAAGACCTAAGGCTCAGGATCCCTGTCTGTACCGCTCTAAAAAGTGATAATTGCCAAACTGAACCTCGTTATTGTTCTACATGGCTGTTTGACATATTTATATCGGAAATGTACATTGCGTTGTTGAAGTTTTAAAGTCCCAGTGCATGTTTTCTTTGTTAGACAACGCGGCATCCCTTTATTCTGTGTGAAATAGACAGCACATCGTGTCGATTTCACAAATTCGTTATTGTCCTGCCTGGCTGTTTGATATATTTATTTTATAACCGAAATGTACATTGAATTGTTGAAGTTATAAAGTCCCAGTGCGTGTTTGCTTCGTTAGACAACTCGGCATACGTTTATTGTGTTTGGTTTAGAAAGCACATCTATGCATCAAGTTTTGAAGTCGATGTCTCAAATTGCTCACATTGTGTGTTTAAGTTGATTTCACAGATTCCTTGCTGACTGTTTAAGTTGATTTCACTGATTTCTTGCTGACTGTTTAAGTTGATTTCACAGATTCCTTGCTGACTGTTTAAGTTGATTTCACAGATTTCTCACGCTGACTGTTTAAGTTGATTTCACTGATTCCTTGCTGACTGTTTAAGTTGATTTCACAGATTCCTTGCTGACTGTTTAAGTTGATTTCACAGATTCCTTGCTGACTGTTTAAGTTGATTTCACAGATTCCTCACGCTGACTGTTTAAGTCGATTTCACAAATTCCTTGCATTGTATGTTCAAGTAGTAAGTCGATTTCCATGCAGGCACTGTTTTAGTTGAATTTGTAACTTGCGTGCAAAAAAAAAAAAAATATTTCCGTCGATAGTAAGAAATGTATATGATGTCTGCTTATGTAAAAAGCACGAATTCTATACATGGTTTATATCAAAATGCACTTAGATTTGTTTTTTTAGTCGAAAGCTCTTTTTTCATACATTGCATCTTATAGTCGAAATCGATGCATCCATACATCGTGGGTTTCATTTGACACAGGACATCCATAAAAATGTGTGTTCAAGTCGAAAGAACGAAAAGATACATTGTGTGTTTAATACATGAGGGCCCGGCTCTCTAGCGTAGTTGGCTAAACCGGAATGCGCGGTGAGCGGGTGACGAACTCCTTGTGGTCCGGGTTCACTCCCGGGGGTAGGCAGAAAAGCCACATTTCTCCCAGAGTTACGGTATTTATCAAGACCGAAAGGTTGCGATATCCATAATACCGAGCCTAAGGGTTAACAACTCATGGCTTACAACCCACAGCTTCTGGTATACTGGAAAGCCGCCCACCTCGTAGCCTCCCACAGTCGAAACAATATGGTTGGGGAATACAATAATACAAAGAGCCTTACATTGCTAAGGCCGAGAGTGTTTGTGCAATGAGCCAGTTCAGCTAAAAGTTTTACATCCGGGAACAACAACATTTTAAAAACTGGATCTCCACAAGACCGGGCCCCAGAATGTAAAAGTAAAGGACCCTTTTCCACGCTTTCTGGCGTACTGGGTATATAGGGCTAGACCAATATTTTATAGACCGATGGGCACTTTTGGGTGAGGTTATCAGCATCATACCGGCCTCCTTTACTTCCCATGACGTTTACCTGGTAGCCATTCAAGGTTGGGTCGACCTAGTTTTTGACAAAAGTTCAGGACCGTGGGGACCCGCACCCACCACCTTCACAATCCGCAGGCGACCATGTAGTCGCTACACCACGCAATCTGGTCTGGCTGCAGCATTCTTGCTAGATCGTCGAACCATTTTATTCTCTGTCTGTCAGTATAATCCAGACATGGTCTTATTCCAACTTTCTCTCTAGTGACCTTGCGGAGACAGCGCATTTCACATCTAGTTATTTTCTGTTCTTGTGCCCTTTTTATTGTCCATGTTTGGCACTGATAATGTAAAGTAGGGATAAAGATGCTATTAATCATTTGCTCTTTTGCTGGAAGGGAGACATTTGGGTGTCTAAGCAGTGCGGCTAACTTGTAGTTGACTCTGAACTCTGGCGTCTATCTCTCTTTCGAGCCTTCCATCCTCCGTAAATATGCTTCCTAGATCGTTTAATTCTCGTACTTGTTTGATTGTATTACCGTTTAATAATCCTTATGATTCTATAATTTACAACTGCGCAGGTGCTTCTGTTTTCTTAGAGTGGCGAATGTCTTTGATCTTTAACTAATAATTTATGTACCCCTGGGGATCGACGCCTGTACCTTAGGCGTTGCGAACGCACTTCGTAATGCCGGGGGGCCGGGTTCGATCCCAGCTGCGGGCTTTGCGCCGGTTTCTACAGTGGTATCGAGAATATGCAATGGCAAAAAACTGTACGCAAACTTGCCTAAAAAAACCACAACAGCCAAAGAATTATGGGGTTGGTTTTGCTACGTCCTGTAAAGAAGACGCAACTAACTAATCCGCGGGGGTAGGGGGGGGGGGGAGTTTGCAGTAATTGACACAAGTGTCGAGATTGTTTGGAAATCAGTTCATATGTGCAGCCATGTAATGTGAATACTTTGATAACCTATTCCCCAAGCAATGAAAAATCTGCAACTTAGAGAGACATGCTGGAGATGACCACCTGAGAGTAAAACACCTATGAGACGCGTGCAGTTTGGTGTTTTGAAAAGCCTTCAGAATAATCACCACGTATCGCTACACTTGATTTCAAACACTTCCGTCGCTTGTGTCAGTTACTGTATATTCTACCTTTAAAAAAATATAAATTCGCCGCTTTAAAAAACACCCATCAGCACCTGTGTAATTGTAAATTATAAAATCATAGAGAGGAACATGAGAAATCTAAGACCACGTGTAAAAATTGTGTTGATCCTTACAGTAGTTTTCAATATATTTTTTACAGTTTAGCGGCACGACTTTTGAAACGCACTATATAGCAGGTTCACTTGAGGATCGGCTGACTGTGCCTAAATTGGGTGGTCTATCATGCGAGATATTCGGGCACGGATCATCGGTAAAATGGCGGAAGTATGTGTGTATTTTAAATCAAAATCCTAACCAGTACAGTCCTTAGTTTCAAGGAAGTTTTTGCCCCTGTTGTCTTCGTCTTTTCGTTTTCCCTGCAAGTGGTTTTCAGAAAAGGCCACAGGCCTCTGTAAAGTCTGTGATGCGACGCGCTGTTCTTAGATCTTGATTTCCATTGGAATGCCAACCGACTAAACTTGAGATCTCTCTACTTTATGTAGAGAAGCATGTCTGTAGCACTTATTCCGTATTCTATGGAGCAAAGTTCTGAATCCCCAGTCTTGAATGTCTTGTACATACGGCAGCAGAGTCTCTTGTGTCCAATCGCATTCTAACTATAATAGACCCTTTCCTTCGTGTCAGGAGGTTGATTGGGTCTTCAGATGGGAAGTGTTCCTTTGTGTCTCCCTGTGCACAGACATTAATATCATGTTTAAAACTCTCCTGTCTCTTATTGATGACTCAAGCATGTGAAACAGAATACAGACTTTGTCCTCGTTATCTCCGAGAAGCATCTTAATGTATTTCCCCAATTGAGTAGGCTGCATTGCTATAAGTGTTCTCTTTAGTGCACATACTTCCTCCCAACTATTTTTCTCGCTTGTTTCTTTTTTTTTTTTTTTTTTTTCGAACAAAGTAACAGTTCCACTAAAACGAGTGTACATTTATGCGTACGAATATACTAAGATTATTTACACTTGGCGTGATTTCCAGTCGTAAGCGTTGGATGACTGCTGCTGGCTTGGTTGTTTGTGTTGATAATACGAAATTGTTTCTTCTTCTTCGTTCGTGCGGGTTTTTTTTGGAGATAATATCATATCATTGTGCCTGTCTGCAGCTTAGCTGCGATATTTGCCCCTTTCGGCTGACACATCCTACTTCTGGGAAATTTTTTATTGTGAGAATATATAATCTTTTTGCGACTGCAAATAACGCAGTATTTGTCTTGGACGCTTTAAATTATCTCATGTTGATATGTTGTTAGGAAAAAAAGGGGTCTTTTTCTATTTTATTTACATAGTTAACAGCTTGCTCAGCATATAGTAATTCATGAAGTGATATCTCGTTCAACCCAATGAGTAATGGTTGAGATATATAGATTGTTTTTCTAGTTTAGTGTTTAATATTTGTGTTCATCACTGACCTCGTATCTAAATTATGTGTTCGTTGCAACAGATTTCAGGAGTACAGCGGGTTCAGTTGAATATTTTCTAAGTGTTCTTCTTACCCCCCCCCCCCCCCCTTTTTTCTTTTTGTAATCCATCCTTGGGAATATAATTCTTCTTCTTAGCGTTCACTTACTGTAAACTCTGGCGGAAAATTCTGGTTGTTCGTCCACTTCTGTATTTTGGTCTTGTTCCATAACTGGAGTTTGAGTGCACGCCCGTTTATGCTTATATTTATGCATATCGTTGGTTCCTTGCCTTTCAGCAGATGTTCTCTTTTGACAGGCAAAAATCCTCACTATTCGTCTTATACTACATGCTTAATAGAGGGTCGTGGATTTAAACACCCCCAATCCACCCCACGGGATCTCGAAAACCACACGGCGAATGTGAGTTTAAAGTGATCTGGGATACCATTATTCTGTCTTATGATATATCAACATCATTTACGCAAACCTTTGTTCTTTTGATGTACTGTTGTGCTTTCCCTTTTGCATTATAATTGGAAAATATATACTAAATGTACATATTTCATCGATTGTTTATTCACTGTCCGGTTTTGCCATCACATGTCACATAGGGTTGGCAGTCTAATTCTTCAGCCCGTTCTGGCCTATGTGGCCACTTCGATATCATGGATGGGATTCAGCCCAGCACTTTAGGCTTCTCTTATCAACGTTTGTATAGGGGTTTCTTGTGGGCGTCCTCGCTTTCTCAATCATTTTACTACCGATTTTAGTGCCTGCTTGGTGTTTCTCTACTCGTTTCTTCTCAGGGTGTGTCCAGTATAGTGCCATCTTCTTTGTCTTAAAACTGTTGTTACCAGTGGTGGTGCTTTCCCAATATCTCCCCCCGTGATGACATAACAAGACAGTCCAGTATTTTCGAGTGTGGTAAGAGCCGGTGTAGCGGCTTTCTGATGCTTTTAACTACCCCAAAACATCTACAACTGGGCCTAACACCAACCCACCTACGTCCCACGAGACAGTGCAGCCTATGTCCCACGACTGCATGCAGCCTATCTACCACCCCCTAAAATATTCGACTGTCTGTTTTGGGCGGAGATGTTGGGATAGCACCTCAGTGGTTGCCCAGACAAATATTTCTTCACCCCTCTTTAATTCACATCATTTCATGTTCAGCATTCTCCTACAGTGTATTATTTATTAGTTTAGTGCATGTTTTTTCAAGCTACAGTGCTTACCTCTTGAGACCGGCTTGAGTGGGGCGAATTTCTGTTGTCAATAACAATTTGTTTATTTCCGGCAATTTTTCTTGCCTGAACTCTTATCTGGATAAGAGGAATTTTTCATATTGAGTTCCCGGTGAGTTCTTCTTATGGGATCTTTACTGGGTTACTGTAATCAAATATCCCTGTACCTCAATACCCTGTTGAAATGTTCTGTGGCACTACAGTACGTTTCCAAAGCTGTGCCGTCACACTTAAAACAAATATCTGGAAAACTTCTGAACGGATCAACAAAAATTTTCTTTATGACCTTACATTCCTTAAGTTCGTATGATTTTATATTTTACAGATGCACATGTGGTTCTGTTTTCTTAAAGCGGCGAATTTCTTTGCTCTTTGTTTGACTAATAATTAATGTACCCCTACAAATAGAATATTCGTTAATTGACACACGGGTGGAGATGGTTTCGAATCATTATCAAGTGCAATGCGTGTTGATTATTTTAGTAGCATATTCCGCATACAATGAAACATCCGCAACTAACTAATGGATAATGCTGGAGATGACCACCTGAAACGCTTATGGAACCATATAATCTGATGTTTTGAAATGCTCTCCTAACTGGGTTAGCTGTAAGCATGCTGATTGTTTGCTTTGAATCGGTGTCTGTTTTTGATTTACCGCAAATAAGTCAACATGAATACTAAGTGTTCGTTTATATAAACAGATCTTAGAAGGACAAGTTGATAAAAAGTTTGCACTCCAAATTTCAACAGAATACATCCAACGGTTACTGAGTGTCATACTTTTTAAAGTAAGCATCGACTTCTGAAACGGATTATAACCTGCAGACATTTGACATACTTTATACGTCTAGGGGGTCTCCAGACAGTAAAATCTCATTAGCACGAATTCCATCACCATCATCAAGCGCTTTGCTGACTAGCGTGCAGCACTGAGTGCCAGGATGAGAGGCTATCAAGAAGTTTCTCACCTTGTTTTCTTCTGTCTTTTCGTGTTTATGTCACTATATATATGTGTGTGGGGGAGGGGCAGGAGGGTGTATTTGAATATTCGGCTTATTTTTTTTTTTTTTTTTTATTTCTGCGAAATAATACGAGACGTTTCCATCAGCTCATCCACCCTGTTACATATTTTGGTGTCGCTAAATGTAAAGTTCGCATCTACTAGATATTGCCCAACTAGTGAGCTTGACACATTGTTTTTCTAGCTGAACTTAAATGTCAGTAGTATATGTTTGATGAAATACGCTCGGCTGGTTATTTGGATTCTGGCACTCAACAGATGATCCCAGTTATTCTTGCGCAATCCTTTGCCTTTAAAAATGTATCCTCTTGTCTTTGGCTCTGTTCTGTGTTCATGGAGTAGCGGGAGTGGAGTTTGGCTTTTTTTTTTTTTTTTTTTGCCACATGAAACAGTTGTTGTGCGTGAATTGGCTCTTCGTTTAACACCGTCTTCTTTTTCTTTGTGTTCATCGGCTGTAAACTTCGGCTTATCCCTGTGTCTGTTTGCAATTCTGCCTCTTATCTGCGTGTATACCTGTCTGTTTAGCTGCT